CAGGAACTGGTAATTTAATTGCTACAAATGATTTAACACCTATAGAGGATACTGTTTTAAGCATTCTGCAAGAAATGGTCGTGGTGGAGGAGTTGGTATTTTGTTTAAACATCCTCTGAAGTTGGAAATGAAATCCAGTAATATTTTCAAGTCTTTCGAGCATTAATATGGATACACTGCTCAAATCATCAAATAAAACAGTCAGAATCATTGTCGTTTACAGACCTCCTCCTTCTAATGGCAAGCATTTGACAGCTCATCAGCTTTTTGATGAGTTCACCACTTTCCTGGAAGAGCTGGCGGATGAACGAAGAGAAATACTTATCACTGGGGATTTCAATTTTCATGTCGATGCCCCAAATGATGCTAATGCTAGTAAATTTCTTCGCCTTCTTCATTCATTTGATTATATTCAGGCTGTCAAGGATCCAACGCACAAATATGGGCATACGCTCGATCTCCTCGTTACTAGGTCTGAGGATAAAATTGAACACAAAATCTCTGCATCAGCTCCTATCATATCTGATCATGGTGCTGTTCACTGCAAGATTATGTTAGCTAAACAACCTTTGAGAAGAAAGAAATTAGATATAGGAGTCTAAAGAAGATTGATATGTCTCGTTATCGTGATGAAAAAAAACTCGCGTCTCTTCAACAGTGATCCAACGGCCATTGAGGAGCTCATTGACAAATATGACAATAAATCATCTTCGATTCTTGATAACCACGCCCCCGTCAAGCACAGAGTCATTACCTTGCGTCCTGTAAACCCTTGGTTCACGGATGAAATACGAAGACAGAAAAGAGAGAGGCGAAGGCTGGAACGACAAATCATCTAGTAGTATTAGTGAAATTAAGCTATCAGTGAAGACTTATCTTTTCAAGAAAGCGTTTTTAAAAAATTTAATTGATTCTATTATTTAAATTAGCAAATTATTTATATCCACTAGTTGCTTTATATATTTCTTTTAATATCAATTAGTATAAATTACATTTTAATATCATGTTATTAAGGCCTGGCCTGGGCGTTCCGCATGTGCCGGATCTAATGCAAATGAACTCCAATCGTCGCTCGTTTGCGTTGGATTCGGCGCATGTGGGACTCGGTGTAAAGGCTGGGTCTAACTAGGAAAAAAAATTGTAATGTATATCCTTCCCAATATTCAAAATGTCAACTTTTCCTTTATGTTATCTATGGGTAATTATTATTTAGATAAATAACTCTACATTTTTATAATTGCAGCGTAAGTGCTCAACATGAAAGACCGGCTATTAGAGATATCATATACCTAGAGAACTAGCGAAGGAATACTATTTTTTCTCTGTTTACCTAAGTTTGTCAGTTACAATCGCGCGCGAAATCGTACAATTTCTTGTCTCGACAAAATGAGGTTTTGCAATTAGTGGACGTCAATCACAGTGTTTTCATGACATTGTTGGAAAACACAAGGTTTTCAAGGGTACGTGCCTAAGGAGAGTCATGGAAACGCCTTGATTGACGTCCACCAAAACCTACTTGGAAAACAATTCTCTAAAAGGTTCCTGTTTAGATAAGAAGATGAAACCACTCTCATATTCATCCCTAAAGCAAACATGTTTCGTAAGTAGAAACCAGTTTTTTTAGTCGTTCAGAGATTGAGAAATAAACTGGCTGGAGTTGGTATTGCAGTGCATTGTGGGGCGGTTTAAGAGGACATTTTCAAGATGGCGTCTATTTCGTCTCCTACAGCCCCATAATGCATAGCAATGCCACTTCCACACACAGTGAGCTCGAGTAAATCAGTCTGTAATCTAACTACCATTTATTCCGAGGTTAAGAGTAAAATTAGATCGAGTTGTCATCGCAGTGCATCTTGGGATTGGTTTAGGGAACATATTATTCTAAAAGTTTCTTTGTTGTTCAGTTCCAGTTCCACAATGCACTGCAATGTCAACACGATCAATAACTCCACCCAATTTTTTCTCAGCCTCGGATTCCCATCACGTTGTATAAATAGACCTGAAGGGAGATGACGTTTTACCCCCGTCTCTAGACCATAATCCTTTTCACACTGCTTTTGTTCTTTAATTATGACTATTGTTCCTGTATTCTCTAAGGAATCAAAAATTTTAATATGAAAGAATTTTAAAAACTATTATGGTCTAGAGACGGGGGTAAAACGTCATCTCGCTTCAGGCTAATTGGATTGGATCGATTGTGTTACGATCATGGCTAGCGCGAAAGTGTTGAATTCGAAAATGGTCTATCTACTGAAGACAGTCTATTGAGACTGAAGACGCTCTTAAAGTTTGAAGCACACCACAGCAATATTGCCAGCAGGAGTCGACTGCTGGTTCCAGAAATATATGAAAAACTTTGACATACTTTGATTAATTATCCTTCTAATTTTTATCCTCAGATCTAGCCGAGTCTGCCTTTGATTTGGATAAAAATTCCATTCCCCAGAGTCGTGTCATTCTAACTGTGAGTGCTCGTCATAGTCCATTTGGACTGCGGAACACCTTCCAATTCATTAAGGTGGCTGCCTACTTTTGAACGTTCGATTTGAGCCCACGATGTGCGCGCGCTCAAAAACCGCTGAAAAATCTACTAGATTTTATTGAAGAATCATACGCATTTTGAGCTTCAACAGGGCAAAACCCTCAAGTTTTTCACGGGACTCTATATTTTGTGATAGCTCATTCGAAAAATCTCCTAAAAATCAAGGTTATATCAACATTTTAGAAAAAGTTTAAATCAGGAACACGTGAAAAAATTGATTTTTGTAGGGATTTTTGTTCGACTTTATGAGATTTTTTAAGAGCACCGAAACTACAAAATATAACAAATCAAC